ATGGGCCTAAGGCCGTCTAGAATGTTTGACAAGATAGACCTAAGGTCATCTTATATATAAATTGGACCGAAGGTCATTTTACATGTTTGTCAAATGGATCAATGGTCATTTTGAAAAAGGAATTGATTGGACCAAAGGTCATTTGAATATGAATATGAACATGATCGTGACTATAAACGTGCTCATGAATATGAATTTGGAAATGATGGATCTGAGATCATTTTGTGCATGTGTTTTGAAGGACCAAATGGTCATTTGTGTATGGATCCATTAGACTTGAGGTCAGTTTATTAATAAATGTTTGGACCCAAGGTGGTTTCACCTCCTTTGATATGCCTTGAGCATAAAGGAATGGACCCGAGGTTGTTTTGTTTTCATATCATGTGCTGCTCATGAGTATGATTTACCTATTTAAGAGTCTCATTCATATAACCTCTTTAATCTGGTATTATTCATTAGGCGATAGCTCACTATGTATTTATATATATATATATATATATAGGTGAGCAGTGGGATATCCAGTCCCAGTCCCAACCCCAGTGATCTTGTGAAAGAATCAAGTTTTGTAAAGTTAACCCGGTATGCCTCACGCTAGAGGCTTTGATTTTAATCTTTTGTTTTGTCCTTGGTTTACTTTTGTTGGTCACATACGACCGCTTGTGTATATAAGTTTTTGGCTTGGAAGATTATGTTATGAATGTTCCTGGACATGCACGATGTTCTTTTCTGTAAGGTGTGAGTTATTATTAATATGTACAAAGTTTTTGTTATGCCATGTATGCACAACTCACTGGAGAAAATTTAAAGTTTTGCTCTCGCTTTTAGCCCCCTATAATTAATCATGATTTGATTTTTGTCTGAGACCGTAAGTAATATCATGATTACTGGCTGGTTATGATCGTAATCTATATGGGCGGGTTCGAGTCATGACAGCCATGGCTAGCCTCGTAGTGAGGGAATGAAATATGATGGGGGATATTAGTGAGTTTGACTTGCAACTTCGTGAGTCCTCTGAGCAGGCTACCCTGTTCACTGTTATTGCACAACCTATACTTGTTACACAAGTAGTAGATGTACAACATGGTGACCCAAAAGTGGAGACTATTCGGGAGAGAATCTCCAAGGGAAGGGAAGAGAAAAGTTTGAATGTTTATGTTGATGTGAGTGTCCATTATTTTGACTGATTGTTTGTGCTCGAGCCTATTAGAGATGGAGTTCTTCGGGAATTCCACCACTTTCACATCGCGGTGCATTCGAGAGGCAAAAAAAATGTACCATGACCTTAGCTGTCAGTTTTTGTAGCGGGGTATAAGGAGGATGTAGCCTCGTTTGTGTCTAAGCGCCTAACTTGTCAGCAAGTCGAGGCCGAACATCAAAAGCCCGTGGGATTATTGCAAACTATACCAATTACTGAGTGGAAATGGGAACATGTCAACATGGACATCGTTACGGGTCTTCTTAGAACGCAAAGAGGTAATGATACGATATGGGTGATTGTAAATCGATTCCCCAAGTTAGCCTATTTTCTTGCCATGAGTGTGGGGGATTCTGTTGAATATTTAGCCAAACCTTACATCCATGAAATTATTTGACTTCATGGAGTTCTGGTGAGCATAGTTTCGGATAGAGATCCTTGCTTCACTGCTAGATTGTGGCAAAGTCTTCAAAGCGCCTTGGGTACTCAACTGAATTTTAGTACCACCTACCATCCTCAGACTAATGGACAATTCGAGTGTACCATACAAATTCTAGTAGACATCTTAAAAGCGTATGTGTTAGACTTCAAAGGGTCTTGGGAGAAACACTTTCCTTTAGTTGAGTTTGCTTACAACAATAGTTACTAGGCCAACATTGAGATGGTACCTTTCAAAGCTCTTTACGAGCATCCCTGTAGATCATTGGTTTGTTGGGATGAGGTAGGGGATTCACCTATGCTTGGGCCCGAGTTCGTTTGCGAGACAACCGAGAAGGTAGCTCTTATTTGGAAGAGATTAGTCATGGCTTAGAATCGTCAGAAAAATTATGTCGATCGGAGGCGATAACCGTCATCCTTTCAAGTAGGAAACCATATATTTTTAAGGATCTCGCGTAGGAGGAGATTGATGAGGTTTGGTAGAAGCAGAAAATTATCTTCTCGATTTATTGGCCCTTTTGATATCATAGAGTGGACAGGAGAAGTTGCGTATCGTCTTGCCTTACCACCATAACTGTGACATCCCTGTTCTGTATTATGCTAATTGGTCCTTAAGTTGTTTATGGTTATGTGTTTAGCCTGGTTTTGTATGCCATTATGTGAAAATATGTGGTTTTGAATTTCTATTTGTTCACCGTAGGAATATCTGTTTGATTTTACCGCTTCGGGAATTAAATTGAGGGCCTTATCGGCCATAGAACCCGAAATTGTTTACGCCATTGTGGTTGGCATAATTTTTAGAGCCTACGGTGAAATTTAATTAGAAATTGATTCGGGTCAGATTAAGTTGATTAAATTGATAATTTAGTGCCCAATTGTTTATTATTATTATTTTGGAATAGTGGGGTTTGATGTAAAAGGGCACTACACCCTCAATTCCTTCCCTTATGTGGCTTTGGCTGATTAAACTCTCTAGAGAGAGTGAGAGACCCGAAATTGAGAGAGAAAGGGGGAAATCATCTAAGTTTGCTCTTGAAGCTTTGGAGTCTTGAAGGCTAGCTCAAGAATTAACCATAGATTGTGAGGATCAAGCTCCTAGGTGAGTGATTCTTGGATTATAATTGTAATTTTGTGCATGTCCAAGCTATCTTGATGATCAAGAACAAGATTGTAATGAAGTTGAGTTGTGTTGTTGAATTGAAGCTTAATATGTGCATGCATGTAAGAAATACTTTGAAATTTGCATGTTTGAGCACAAATGTGTATAACCCATGTGAAATATTAAAGGAAACTCATGTCTTGATCACCATTTGTGTTATCTAAGTTGAGAATGTGGCTAATCCATCACATGCATGTACAAATTGAGAAGATATGAGCTTTGAATGCATGAAATGGCTACATCGGTAATGAGTTGGTGGAAAATGAGCCATGCATGTAAATAAATTATGAAATTGAGCTTCAATATGTTGTAATTCTATGTTTGTACCATGTTAATACATGATTATGTGAAGTTTGGGCCGAAATCATGCATTTAGAGCCTTTGAATGTCGAGATGAAGCTCAAGAACTCAATCTGGAAAACCCAGATTTTTGATGTCCGCTCGAGCGGGTTGAGTGACGCTCGAGCGAAGAAATCGAGCTCCCAG